TGGTCAAGCAACGGCTCAATCGACGACACGCGCGATAAAATTGTCTGCCAGGTTCTTCGTCTCCTGGTGCTCGTGGTTGGCCTTGAAGCAACAACAGGGGAAGACTGGACGCGGTCTGGAGGACGATTGACACAAACGCTCGTGACGGCTTCTACCGCATCCACCGCACCACGTCATTTGTGTTCGCGTCCTTGCCTCGTTCGTTTCGTTGGGCGACTGGGCGACGGCTTTGGCGATGCTGGCCACTCCATGTCGTTATGCTCCGCAACGTTCATAATATCAACCGGCTCCAAATCCTCTGCAGCACTCGGCGCATTCGGCTCTTGCACGTCAGAACTGTTTAACCCCGGCGCCGCCAGCGACCGGCAACCCCACGCACCGTCCACCTCCAACATCACCACCAGCGCAACCATGTCTGGGTTCCTCAAGACCAGCGATTACATGCAGCGCATGCGCGCGCAGCCCACGATCACGCGCGCCGTCCCTGTGGCCGACACGGGCGTCGTCTTGCCAACCGCCGGGTCCACGCCGTCGGTGATTACGCAGCGCATGTCGGAGCGCGAGCAGACGGCCTTGATCATGGTCAAGGATGCGCTGAAGGTCAGGCCGTGGTGCCTTTTTTTCTTGTTGGCGCACGGAAACGAGGCACGGGCCTGACAAAACCGCATGGCAAACGCACAGAAACACGACGGGCCTATGACCTACGAGCAGCTCAATATCGCCAGCGACTACCAGCTCGAACGGCACCCGAGCGTGCACATTGCGCTGACCGAGGACGAGGAATTTACCTACGACACCAAGACCGGCTCGTACATGCATCGGGTTCGTGTTCCCGTCTCCCGTGAGCGCTGGTGTTTGCGGTGGTTCGCTCATCCACTCCACGCTCTGCCTTTGTAGCCAAAATTCACGATTCGAACTAAGGAGGATCTGCTCACGCTCATTAAGTCCTCGCCGGGATTTTGGGAGGTGGCCAAGCTGAAAGAGTCGAACATCAAGGTCGTGCCGTTGCTTCAGGTCCGCTTCATTCGTCGCTTTCCGCGTCGAATCAACGACATCCGTCTATTCTTCGGCTCATCACGGACGTTCTCCACCCGCTAGGAGCTCGCCAAGGACCAGCTCATCTTCCTCGTGCAAAAGCAGCAAGGGAGCAAGGAGCCCGTCAGCGTGATTCAGAACCCATGGCCGCCGTCCGAATCCGAAACGTTTACCATGGCCGACGAGTTCAAAAAGGCGTTTTTCGCGGCGAAGGTGCCAGACGACACGGAGCTGGAGCGCGAGCTCGACAAGGGTACGCTCCGCGCAGGATCCCTGGCAAGTAGGAGTTCAGCAAATTAACGCGGATCCATTCATGTAGCCAATATCGCACGCAGCGAGGCGGCCGACATCAAGCGGCAGGTCAAGAAAAAGGAAAAGAAGCAAAAGGAGAGCAAGCGCAAGTACAAGTACCAAAACGCGCACCATTTGCTCGGCACCGACGCTGCAGGCCCGTTGGGCGCGTCGTAGGTCGGGGTGGACGCGCAGTCGATGCTGCTGAAATTCGTGCTGTGGTTGTGGAGCACGCCCTGTAATATAGGCTCGATTTATCGGCGACAAAGTACTGCCCGGCAAACTTGCGACGAGCTGCCGCTGTTGTGAGCATCTCCACGCCTCTGTTGCGGCAGAAAATGACACAATCTCGTCGTGGTCCTGACAGACTTGACGGATATTATATCAGGGCAGGAAGTCCGCCTCTGTCGTCGTCCTTATGCCTTCGTCGAGATCCTTGTCGATTAACCCTCCTCAACGCTCGGCAACACTCGACTCGCCCAACCAGCTGCATTTTAACAAGCGCGACATTCAGCTCCATACCCTCTTTCGCTGCGCTCTTCGCTCTTCAGCGACTCGAAGCTCGTCGGCCAATACCTCAATACTCCTCGATGAACCCGTTCGACCAAATCCCGGCCGCGCGCGCAGTACCTGACGGCGTCGTTGACCGCGCCGCCGAGCTCCTGCGCGTCTACGTTGCCAAGGTCGGGTCAGCCAAGGCGAGCGACCCGTTTCTGCTGCGTGCATGCCTGTCGTTGGCCGCTAGCGAGTGCGTCGCGCTCAGACCTGCCTCCCCACTTCATCCTGGACGATGGATGCTGACCCTGACGGTCCGATTAGAAATGCGGTCCCGCTCAGCGACTCCAAGGACCTGCAGGTCAAGACGAAGAAGCAGCAGCAGGATTTCAGCAAGGCCATGGCGTCGCTGCGCAACACGGTGTCGTCGACCTCGGGCACGGCTGGAGATGCGGCTAGCGGCAACCAGCTGAACATGGCTCTGGTAGCCGTCGGTGCCACGCAGATTCCGCTGCGCGCGATTGACGCGATGGTGCAGCACGCGACGCAGAAGTTGCGCGAGGACGGCACCATTCCGAGGATACAGACGTCGCTTGACGAGGCGTCGCTCTTCAAGTACCAGTTGGCCGCGACGTACTTGATTGCGGAGGCGACCAAGGTCCGTGCTTGCGTTTATGATGCTCAGGTTTTACCGTTCGCTGTCCTCACGCTTTCCCAACGTTTCGCTAGTCGGCCCCGTCCAAGGCATCCTTTGCCAAAGTCGCCAAACTGCCGCTCAGTTCCTTCGACGCGATCGTTGCGCGCACGCGGCTCGACTGCGCCGATCTGCTCGAGCGCATGACGTCCCCCTCGACCCCGAAAAAGCGCGCGCGCGAGCCCGCCGATGATGGAACGCTCGAAAAGGAGAACGCCGACGAATTGAGAGACACGGACCCGCTCGCGCCGCCGTCGCTCTCCCTGACCCGCTCGCGGTCGAATGTGAAGCGCATCAAGCTCGACGTTGCGTCCGACTCGGTCGCCGACGACGGCGAGTCGCCGCTCCGTGGCCGGCAATCCCGACAACTTGCGACCCCTACGCTTGAACCTGACGCTGCCGACGACACGCCCACGCTCCGGCGCACGTCGCCGTGGCTTGCGGGCAAGTCGCACGCGATGGACGTGCTCGCGTCGCGCTCGAGACCGGTGGCGCGGACGCCGCCGAGGGCAATTGCGGTGATCGTGCCCGTCATGCGCAGATCGGCGGCGGCAGCGACTCCGGGGACCAGATTGCAGGAACGGATGCAGCAGTCGGGTGCGCCCACGCCCAGCCGGCGCGCGCCGCAGACGCCGCACGTGCCGTCGAAACTGCGGCTGCGGGCGGTCCCGCCGACAAGCGAGTACCGCGTCGGCAGCAACGCCGACCAGCGGGCCGTCGACGCCGCTGACGCCCACGACGCGCGCCATGATTGTGCCGGACGCGATTGCGCCCGATGACGCAGTAATGGACGTGGCGGCACCGACGGGGACGCCCACGCCACACGCGCGTCGTGTCGCAACTACGGCGACGGAGTCGGCAGCGACCCCGTCGCGGCCGCGTCGGCCGCGGATTGCACCTGGGACTGCAGCGGTACAAGTGCCTGCTGCGCCCGCGGCCCCGCCTGCGCCGCTGGAAAACGTGCCGGGATTTGGGTCGTTCAATATGGTCCCGCTCGTCGACCCGCGCGAGTCGCAGCGGTTCCACCGGTTCCAGTCGTGGAAAGCTAGTATGGTTGAAAGGTTGCAGGCCACGATCGCGGCTGCAGCCACGACAGTGTCAACAGCCGCGACAGCGTCAACGGCCGCACTGCCGGCCGAGGCGATGGTTGTGTGAAGTATTTCTGGAGGCAAGGACGTGCCTGTGTCAATACCAATGTCGTGCGTGTGCTTTTCCGTTCATTTCCGGTCCTTTCGAGCCCAGCGAATGGACAAGATGACGTGAACAGGCTCCGAAGCAGGCACCAATCACACAAGCGCCAGAGATACTTTGCCAAGGCCTTGAATCACACGCCGCGTGTGGTCTAGAGGATAGGCTTCTTTGCAAACTCTGCTGCTAGGAGACTCAAATCTGTGAAACAAGACTTGCAACAGGCCACCCGAAGGACTGCGGTGGTGGCTCGCTTTTACATGGTCCGTCCAACCCTTTGCCCACCGGGACTTGAACCCGAGACTCATCAGGAGCGTACGGAGCGCTATGAAAGGGGACGCCTTAGGCGGCCCCGGACACGCGGTCCAGAATGCTTCATCAGCCTCCTCCACCCGACCAACCCGTCAACTTCGATGGATCGGCGCCGCGGAGGATATCCGCGACGCGTTGGCGCGTCGAGAGCCGCGCATGGCAACTGGCGAGAGAGTGACGCCACACACGCACGGCGCTATGATCGCCCCGTGGCGCGCCGTGGCGACGGAGGGCCGGGGGGGCTTGGACGGGCACATCTCGGTTGGCGTTTGCTGGGCGGCGTTGCCACCCGCAGCTTGGGCGGCGGTCGGGAACAACTCTCTCCACCGGGTTACATCGTCGCGCGTGATCGCCGCGGGCGCGAGACGGCGAAGGTGGATTGGGCCCGGGTCGTGTGGCAGCAGCCACTGCGCAAACCGGATGGGAAGGTCGCCCAGACCGTGCCGCAACTGATAGCGGCAGCGACGCCGGCGCGACGTTGCATAATGACGCGCTCTCAGTCGCCCGCGTTGCGCTGGCAAGCGAGGTAGTGGTCCTGCGTGTCGTCAGCGCCGCACGTCGAGCCGCGTCCCCACCGGCGCGTGATCGACCGCGACCAGGAGCGCAAACAACTCGGCACGCGTCGAGGATAGATGACCCGGCGGCAGGCGCACATCGACGGCGCGTTCGTTGGGCCCCGGGAAAAGCACGCCCGCGCCGCCCTGGCCAGCCGCCGCGTCAAGAGAATCGTTCGTGTACACTTGCAGCGTGCAATTGTGTCACGTCCATGTCGTGGCGCCACTCCAGACAGTAGCACAGATCGCTGTAAGCAGTCGCCACCAGCGTGCCCGGCCACTCGTCGATCACCGTGCCGGCTCCGCGCACCGTCTCCACCTGGTGGAACGGCAGCGGGAGATCGTCGAACTCGCCGTCGCGCTCGCTGTCGCGCCCACTTGAGATCAGACGTCGGGTCGGTGATGATTTATGTCATAACTATGGGATTCAAGGGCGTGTGGCCTAGTGGCTAAGGCGTCTCCCTCCGGAGGAGAAGGTCGAGGGTTCGAACCCCTCCTCGCTCGTCACTTTTTGAGTTGAATCACGTCAAGCGGCGATTGATCTTTTTGCTTGAACAGTCACGAGAGATCTGTTGTGGGCCCTCGGCTCGCATTTTTCTTGCTTGAAATGGCTGCAAGAGACGTGCACAGAGATGTGCCGAACCGTCTTCGAACCGCCGAATCGCCTCTGGTGCATGAAGGCTATGGTTCGGAGTACAATCCGCTCGCAATGTCTCCAACTCGCATCTTTTCGCTCGCGACATTCGCGCGCGACTGAACGGTCACTCTTCTTCTCCAACCTCTCCACCCGTGCTCGTGAAAGCACCAGTCCACGTGCGGTATAAGGACGAGTGGGTTCTCGCGCGAGGAAGTGTTCGATTTGGACGGGATCCTGGAGCTATTGAAATCTCATGGGCTCACTTCCAGTCGCCTTCACCGGTCTTCACCTGTCGAATGAGCCCCCTCGACTTGTACTTCGCGAGTCGACAGGTTGACATGAACAGCCGCAGTTAAGTATGAGCGGCTGCAATCTCACGACGACTTCCTCGTCCTCAAACGGGTACGAGTGCAGCATCTTTACCATGAATATTCCAAACCAAACAATGGATTTTATTCCTGGAGAAGCAGTTGCTTTGAGCGATCAGGGATGTTGACGCGGAGATGCGGTGCGACCACGTCAGGGGCGCGGCGCAGCCGTGTGGTAGACCGATCCACGTGGACCTATCGAATTAGCCCCACCGCACCCCACCGCACGGCTGCATTACATCGGCGGGTTGCTCTACCCACCGTTGCCCCTGACCCACCCTGACGGAGCCAGCAACAACAAACTGCAACTGCCCAGCTGCAACCTGCCGCCCACCCGAACGCCGGACCGCTCCGATCCAACGTGTGCCATGATCCCATCGGCGCGCAATATTGCCGTGACCGGGCTCGGCCTCGTCACCCCGCTCGGCGTCGGCGTGCAAACCGCCTGGAAGGCTCTCCTGGCCGGCCAATCCGGAATCGTCGATCTCAAGACCAACCAGCACACCAAGGACCTGCCGTTCCTCGACCAGGTGCCGTGCACTGTCGCCGGCGTCGTTCCGCGCGACCAGCTTGACCCAAGCACGTTTATGAACCCAGGCGTACGAATTCCGCGGTCGCTACCCGGTGGACAAGCAAGCACCATCTGATGGAAATGCGACGCGCCGCGCAGGACGACCGCAAGACGTCGCTCTTCATCCAGCACGCGCTCAAAGCCGCAAAGGAAGCGCTCGACGACGCGCAATGGCACCCGACGTCCGAACGGGACAGGCAAGCAACCGTACGATCCGATGGACTCCGCTCTCTACTCGTTTGTCGTCCACCGACCAGTCGCATCCTAGGGCGTCATGATTGGTTCCGGCATTGGCGGCGTCGACGACTTTTCCGCGACCGCTCTGCACCTCGCCGCGCGTCAAGCGCGCAAAATCTCGCCGTTTGCAGTACCCAAAGCGCTCGTCAACCTGGCCGCCGGATGGGTCTCGCTCACGCACGGGTTCCAAGGCCCAAGTCACTGCGTCGCGACCGCGTGTGCAGCCGGCGCCAACGCTATCGGCGACGCGGCACGCATGATCCAGTACGGCGACGCCAACGTCATGGTCGCGGGTGCCGCCGAATCGACGATCAATGCGATTTCGCTCGCTGGGTTCGCGCGTGCCAAGGCGCTGTGCACCGCCTTCAACCATGACCCACCTGCCGCGAGCCGGCCGTTTGACCAGAAGCGCGCCGGGTTCGTCATGGGCGAGGGCGCTGGCGTTGTGGTTCTCGAAGATTTGGAGCACGCTCGTGCGCGTGGCGCAAAAGTATACGCGGTGCTTGCCGGGTACGGCACGTCGTGCGACGCGCACCATATCACGGCGCCGCCCGACGACGGCCGCGGTGCTGCACGCGCCATGGAACAGGCGTTGCGTGGGATCACGGACCGCAGCGTCGTCGCACACATCAACACGCACGCGACGTCGACTGAGCAGGGCGATGTCGCGGAGCTGAGGGCGATCCGGACCGTGTTTGGCGATGTACGCGCGAAGGAGATCCAGATTGCCGCGACCAAGTCGGCAACAGGTCACCTGCTGGGCGCCGCTGGTGCCGTCGAAGCCATTTGGGCGGTGTTGGCCTTGCACCATGTACGTGGTCAAACTCCCCCCTTCTTTTCTAGGTGGACAAGGCGCTGACATAAGATTGTGTGAAGGGCATCGTACCGCCAACACTGAACCTGCACGACCCGGACCCAGAGGCTGACGGGTTCCAATTGACGCCGCTCACTGCGGTCCCGAAACCGGATATGGCCGCTGTCATGTCCAACTCGTTTGGGTTTGGCGGAACCAACGCTAGTCTTGTATTTGCGCATCCCGATACTAACGGAGTGTGAAGGGCGAAATGAATACATTGTGTGCACGGATACAAGCTGGGATGTGTGATAATCATATCGATTGGACATAAAGGAAAATGGCCAATTCAAGCATGACAGACGTGTCAGCGCTCACACAAAACGGCGGCGATTCTCAAGGTGTCGCCGTCAACGTGGGATCAACTCCGAGTTGATCGCAACATGCCTGCCACGCGTTCGCTGCGCTAGTACTCGCGACGCTCGTACTCGTTGTGCTGCTTGGGTTGCGGGCCGGCGTGGGCCATGTGCTGCGTTGGTCTTGGACTCAATGTGGAAGCAGAGACATGCATGGTCGATGTGGCCATGATTCAATGTGATGTGGCGCTGTTCCATCACGCATCACATTGTGCTGTGCTGGCCATTTTAAGCTGCATAATTTACTCGAGCGCGCAAAACCATCATCTGCGTCCTCGCTGTCAAGCAAAGTGAGAAAAAGACAGGTGAGCAATCTGTTGTTGAAGTGACGCGACCAAAAACGACGATGCGCGATCGGTCCGAGAGTGCGACTTGGCTGGGGGACAGGCACGTGCATTCGTTTGTTCAGATCTAACGATTTCTGTAGACGGCAGGCCAAGTGTTAAGAGTCAGTCCGGGCTTGCTGCTTCTCAAACGTCAATCTTTCGCGGCTAAAATACGAAGAGACGACAATTTCCCAACCCATTCGCATTGTTACAAACATTAGGTGCTCCCAGACCCACCAGCGGATACTCCTCATTTTCAAAGCTCCACTTCAAGCGTCGGATTGGCTTGGCGATAACACAATGCCCAGGACTCGTGAATGCCCGTGCCCCGCAGCGTCAGCCGGCGGAGCCTGGGCAGGTGCGGCACAAGTAGCGCCAGCATGGCCGGCTCCAGACGAAAGTTGTTCATCAGGTCGAGAGTGAGCACGCTTGGCACACAGGAGATGAGGGCTATGAGCACGTCCTCTGTTCCGCGCGAATCGTCCAGTCCAAACGTAAACAGGCCGAAATCGTCGATCGGCAACCCCTGCAGGAGCGGCATCGTCAGATGGGCAAACGGACGAGCTGTCGAATCGAGAATGGCCTCACAGGTCCCCATACGCAACTTAAACAGTTGCTTGCTCGTCGGCAAGATTCTGCTTGACGGTGCAGAGAGCATCGGAGGGTTGGCGTTCAAGGCTTGCACACTACTCCACATCATTTCTTACATTTCTTCCACGCATGGCTCGTGTGGGTCACGAAGCAGATGGGCATCCAGACAGAGCATCCCCGTCTGTCAGGTCCTGAAATAGTGAAGAAATGTATCCGATTCCAGATCACAATCCGTTGCTAGACAACAATCAAAGTAACTGAACCGCGGGGTTGGAGCACTCTGGCAGTATCGCCCACTTGCTCGGCCGCGATGAGAGCGCAATACGCGCTGGCCGCCTCTGGCCGCAAGGAACCGGCGACACGGCAAGAATTGCTGATTTTCCCGCGAATGATCGGCTGGCAGCAAGGCCATGGCGCTGACCGAGTTGGCACTGCTGGTACTTCGACAGTGCCTCCTCTTCCGCTTCCACCTTTGAGCATAAAATCGTGGCCGATGCTCACTATCGTGGACACGTGTGTGTATTGTATATCATTGACAAGCGTGACACCACGGGGAAAACGCGAAGCGAAAAGTAGATGAGGGAGGGAGGTGGGGATGCGGTCGATGACCGCCAGCAAAAAATAGCGGCGAGACGACATGCCTGTACACGGGGGGTGGCCAGCAAAACCAGACAAAAAAGCAAACTATTGGCTGCATCTAGAACGTGCTGAACAGGTACCCAAACGGGTCGGCCGTGGCCACCGGCTCCGGGTCGGGTTCCGGGTACCGCTCGAAGTTGGCCGTGTCGCCCGGCCCGGCCATGCGCGGGATAATCGGCGGCTATCGTGTCGTGTCAGTCCTGCGCCGTACGACGGGCATGTTGTCGGAAGAGAACGTACCAGCACGCGTTTGCCCACGACCGCGTCCCAGTCCACGCCCTTGAACCACCGGTGGCACTTGATATCGGCGGCACCGTCCTTGAGGTTGCCAAGCCGCTTGGTGCGGTCGGCCGAGAGGAGACGACGGATCAGGTCGCGTGCGTTCGCATCGACAAAGGGCGGGAACTGGATGCGGCCCGCGAGGATCTTTTCGTAGATGCCGTATGGCGAGTCGTCGTAGAACGGTGGGTAGCCGCACAGCATTTCGAAGATGAGAATCTACGAAGGCAGAAAACATTAGTCAGTGGCGGCATGTAAATGCGTTTGGACGAGACGCCGAGCAAGACTTACCCCAAGCGACCACCAGTCGACGGCGCGCCCGTGTCCCTTGCCCTGGATGATTTCCGGCGCCAAGTACTCGGGCGTACCGCACAGCGTCCACGTGCGGTCGGGCACGACTTTGCTGAACCCAAAATCGGTGATCTTGATGTGACCGCGCACGTCGAGGAGCAAATTCTACAAGGTCGCAGCGTCAACATGGCGGTTCGCCATCCGCGCGCCACCAGTTCTCGACCACACGCACCTCGGGCTTCAAGTCACGGTAAATAATATCGCGCGCGTGCAAGTACTCGATCGCCGTCACAATCTCGGCGGCATAAAACCGTGCCATATCATTCGAGAATCGCCCCGCGCGACGCAAATGCGAG